ACAACGATTCACGTCCAATGAAAAATTCATCACCGAAACAAATGCCTATTTTGAGGGTTTCCAGTAACCATATTTTTCTGATGGCTTAAAAAAACTGGAAGGCCGTTTAATAAAATGTATCGACCTTCAAGGAGATTATGTTGAAAAATAAAAAAAATACATACGCAAAACTTTTTTTTCCTTCTTTTTATAAAGACTTATTGACCCCCCCCCCCTCGTATCTAATATACACGGTAAATAGCTTTTATGAAGAATATTTTCTGAATTTATTGTCATTTGACTTATATTAAAAAATAAAACGTACGCAGATACGCTATGTATGATATCCTTAGCCGCAAGCTTCTTGCGTCACAATTTCTAACCTCATGCGATCTTATGTTTATCCTACTCGCAAAAAAAAGGGATTTGATAATTTTTAATATTATAACATATCATTTAGTTAATGCACGTTTTGCATATCAAACGTACCAAATCATAAGTATGGAAAGCGGCCCTCATGCACAAAACTTACATAGACGGCAGTCACTTATGAAAATTAAAATTCAATGTATAGCTTATAAAAGAACTATCTTTATTTAAACTAATTCATTAAATATTCATTGAAGCGTGATATACTAAATTGTTTTTCTTTAATTCAAACTGGTAGATTCACGAAAAAATTACTTTTGTCAGAATAATTCGTGTGATAATTATATTCTCCCTATGCTCAATTCATTCCAAACTGTAGCGTGGATTTTAATTCTGTGCTTTCATATCGCTAGTTCATTCCGTCCCAAATATATAAATATTATAATAAGGATAGTAGACACGCTCATAAAACTGTAATTTAACGGAAAGTCATTTGTATCTTCAAAGCGGTACAAAACGAAATTAATATTCTTATTTTAGACATTTTATCTCCAAATTATATTACAAGAAGACCTTGCACTCTTAAATATAGAAGTAGCTATAAAGCTTGGGAGAAAAAAAATTTTCTATTGTACTATTTTCTCGCCCTTTTAAAAATTTACTAGCCCAAAAAGTATTATAAAAATCATTTATTGCTATTTTATGCTATAAGAATTTATCTGCAATAAATGATTCACGTTAATGAAATAAATAAACAAAATTTATAGTTAATATTTTTGCTGACAAAATACTAGATTTATATGGTATTGAGAAATGTTCATTCAATATGCATGTGTTATGGTACTATACAAGCTTTACAGTACAATGGAGCCTTTTGTATGGATAGTATGCGTTTTCATTAAAAGATTCGAATAGTTATTTAAAAAACAACCATGAGCCAAATAGAATAGATGTCAAAATAACGAATTCTCTTGAAATATAAATACACTCGAAACTTAGAAGAGCAGTCAGTAAGATTGCTTCTCGTTAGCCTCTCTCCCTCTCTCCTCTGCACTTTACAAGGCATACTGACCAGCGTTAAGTGCACAATAGTAATGCGCCTAACTATTGGCCTTTTGCTTCAGCAAAAGAAAGCTGTTATGGTAAGGCATGGTGAAAGTAATAAGATTTGAATTTTACAAGAAACTATTTAATAATTTAAATGCACAATTCCGCACTTTTACCTTATTATAAAACGATATTAAGCAAATCGATAGATGCTAAACTAATAACATTAACTTAAATTCAAAATAAATTAAACGGTAATCACAAGTAAATTATTAGATTAAACGCAATTTTTACACGAATCAACAAAAATTAAATTTAAACAAAAGAATCGCACACGAGAATATGAAAGAAATAAAACGGCACCTTTTCGGTCGAAAGTCGGGACGAGTCTGAGGGTTCTGGCCAGAAAGCCGTCGCATTCACTGCCGCGTCGCACTGCCGAGTTTTTCTCCCCTCTCAAGGCCCAAACAGACCCGTGCGCTGCGGTGAGTTCTAAGAAGTCTAGAAAAGGCGCCATCCGTCTGTTTTACTTTTAAATTTCAACAGTCAGTTGGGCTTTTATCCCTTCCTATGCACTTGTAGTGCCAATGGGTGCACTTATAGTGCCAATAGGTGCACTTATAGTGCCAATGGGTGCATTTGCAATGCCAATTTTGTGTAGTTGTAGTGCCTATGGTGCACTTTTAGTGCTTATTCCTAGTTTCAATCATACGCATCCGGCGCATATGAAATCGGAGATCACTCGACAGAGGCTTCTTTTCACCCACAGCCTCGTGTCTAACCATCGACCTTGGGTTGTCCGATCATATTCGTCGCAACGACTCGTCTCTGTCTTATTTAAACGCTTTGGATATTTATGACTAACGCATATAATACTTCTCACATTTGTTCGCTCGCAACTTAAAACTAATTTGCATTTATCAGAGGAAAAAAAGATAAGAACAGCTGCCGCACATGTGCGCCCTAGCTGACCCGAGCACGCTTAGTTCTTTTCCCTTTCTTTCAGTCTTTCGTAGGTCACAACATGTCTGCCAAATATAAGAGCCAGGAACTAGCGCGATGTTAGGTCAACTGCGCCTATCCATCCGGAACAAAAGCAAATGGCATTTAGTGAAAAAGTGAGAAAGAGAGAAAGAGCACATGGCTATGTAGTATTAGGCAAGTGTACGACACACGATCGATAAGAGCTGCGTCACAAGTCACCTCAGAAGTATGTGAAAAGGGGATGAAAAAGGGTAAGCTGGTGACCACGAGTAGGCCATGGCCGAGATTGAGCAAGAGAATTTTTGCCTGCCCTCGTATTGAACGAGGTTCGATCATTACGAGAGAGCATTTTCCCGTGTAACTTAGACAATCGGTTTTCACGATTAACACGCCCAGACTTGGTAGTATCTCTGATCTGCTGTCCTGCGAATTCATGCAAGAATCGGACATCTCCAGTGACAGTGCATCTCCCATTGGGCCTGCATTTTCCAGTCAGCGTAGCATAAAAGGTCAAGTCTTTCCTCTGGCTTACAAGTTTCTCTCTTTTAGTATTATGGTGATTCAGCAGAAACAATTATAATATGATAGCAAGGCGTCCACCCGCCGACTACTTTCGCGATATGCGATTAAAGAAGCGGCTCGTGGTTAGACCGCGGTTGTCAAGGCGATTCCGTCACCGGGCAATTTGCGCCTTCGTAGTAGTAGATTTAGTTAACAATTTTCTAAGTATTGTAAATAGTTATGTTACGTTTATTCAGTAATTTTATAAGAATTAGGATGAGTCTGCATTATATTCGAAAAATAAGATTGAGTTGTGTTCATTATACGAGGGTCATTTGAAAAGTCCGTGCAAAAATAAAAACTGCTTGATTTTTTTTAATAAATCTTTTTCATTTTTCAATATAGTCCCCTTTTAGGCTTATACACTTCATCCAACGCTGCTCTAGTTTGTTAATCCCTTCCAAATAATAGGATTTGTCCAAGTCTGTAAAATAGGCATTCGTTTCTGCAATCACCTCCTCATTTGAATAAAATCTTTTCCCCGCCAGCCATTTTTTCATATTAGAGAACAAATAGTAGTCCGACGGAGCCAAATCTGGAGAATAGGGGGGATATGAAACGAGTTGGAACCCTATCTCCATCAGTTTTACGGCCACAACTGCTGAGGCGTGAGCTGGCGCATTGTCGTGGTGGAAGAGGACTTTTTTATGGGCCAATCGTGGACGTTTCTCTAGCAACTCGGTTTTCAAACGATCCAATAACGATGAATAATATTCGCCTGTAATGCTTTTCCAGATAGTCGATGAAGATTATTCCTTGCGAATCCCAAAAGACAGTCGCCATAACCTTCCCGGCCGAAGGAATTGTCTTCGCCTTTTTCGGAGCAGATTCCCCCTTGGTAACCCATTGTTTAGACTATTCTTTGGTCTCAGGAGTGTAGTGATGTATCCATGTTTCATCTACAGTGATGAAACGGCGCTTAAAGTCTTGCGGATTTTGCTGGAACAGCTGCAAACCATTCTTGCAACACTTCACATGATCTCGTTTTTAGTCAATCGTGAGCAATCGTGGCACCCATCTAACGGATAGCTTTTTCATGTCTAAATGTTGGTGCAAAATATTATGTAACCATTCGCTCGAGATGCCTACAGTACTAGCAATCTCACGTACCTTCACTCTTCTGTCAGCTATCACCATATCATGGATTTTATCAATGATTTCTGAAGTGGTAACCTCAACAGGGCGTCCAGAATGTTCAGCGTCTTTTGTGCTCATATGGCCACTCCGAAAATTTTGAAACCACTTATAAACCATTCTAATCGAAGGTGCATAATCACCATAATGTTTATCAAGCTTCTGTTTAATCTCCTGAGGCGTCTTGCCTTTGAAAAAGTAATGTTTAATCAATACACGAAATTCTTTTTCGTCCATTTTTTTACAACCACTCGATTTCTTTGATTGAAACGAATGTAAAACGCAAAGTAATTGGCCGATCTGGCTGAAACTTGGTGTGTGCTCTTCCAAGATATGCAACTAACTGAAAATAATCTTGATACACACTAGTAGCGCCATCTCTCTGACTTTGCACGGACTTTTCAAACGACCCAGGTAAATAAGATTATGAGTTTTTAATATAACGGTTATGTGTAATTATTTATTAACCGTTCCTCTCTGTTTCTCCCTTCGATTGATGAGAGCAAACACCTCTATGCAACATAGCATAGTACCTTTTTTACAAAATTTTGAAGAGTATGTTGACGGTTGATAAGTTCTTTGAAGAAGACGGCAAAAACAATGTTCTTGAAAATTTAAGTGTTACAGAATTGAATGTGAGTAAAATTAAAGCGACTAGAGGCTAAGAAATGACTGAAAATTTGATTTTCGAAGAAAGAAAAATGTTTGTGAATAGAGCAAGACACAACAATAAAATTTTTCTTCGAAATTATACATCGGACAAAACATAAATAATAATTCTATTACATGCTAGAATAATTAGCAAAATTATTAAAGCAATAGAAGTATAAAACATTGAAATTTTGAAATTAAAAAAATTTGAATTAACGTTTGAGATAATTCAAAGCTTATAATATATTTTTAAATAATTATTTTAATATTTTTAGCTGCAACAACATTGAATATTGAACAGCTAAATGCAGTTGTTGGAAATGGCGATATAATTTCTGAAACGAGTGAACAACGAGATCATTTCTGGTGTACTTCTAAAGGAAAATTCCAGTACAGTATTGATAATTTACCAGCGCAATTACAATACATCTACAAGTTATTTCAGGTAAAATAATGTTATGAATTATTCATTCATAGATACATTTTTCAATTCATTTGTAAAAACAGTATTATATTAGTTATGTATATATATGTTAGACTTTGGAGATGCTTACTATGATTTGTGTGATACAGTTCCGTGTTTCGTATCGTTATCACTACTATCACGTTGTCAGCGTAGGCGACCAACTTAACCTCTGTTGATATGACCAATCTAAGTAGCATATCATACAGTATATTCTAAAGGTCTAGACCCAGAACGGACCCCTGAGCGAATCCTGCAGTGATTTGTCTGGTAACCATACCGTCTGTCATCTTGTATCTGATTCATCTGTTTCGTAAGTAATTCTCCATCATTCGAATGAAGTAAGTCTGATGAAATAAGGTATGAAGGGAGTCTAAAAGTTCGTAGCACCTTCAGGATATCCTTGTACCTAGCAGTGTTAAACGGCGTTTCTAACGTTCAATATCACCAGAACAACTATGGGTCTCATATATGGGCCTCGTCCGCAGGCAGGTTTCCGTGATTTTCTGGATCTTGTCTACAGTTGAGTGGGCCCTTCGGAATCAATGTTGATTTTCTATCAGTCTATCGCTTACCGTTATTGCTTTCGCTACTCTCGATTTCAACAGTGCTTCGTACAGTTTGCCCACTGTGTTCAGAAGACTCAGGGGTTTGTAGGAAAATGGAATATTGGGTTCTCCTTTTCCTTTATGCAGGAGTATCAGTCTAGCTGTCTTCCATTCTGTGGGGAAGATGCCAGCCCGTAAGATCGCGTTATGTTCAGTAATCCAGATCGTGTTCTTTCGATTCCTCGGAGGATCTTCCTAAGAATATAGTCTCTTTTGCCGGGACTAAGTATATGGTAGTCGTATCTCGATTGAGCTCTGCCTCGGTAAACTCCAGCGCGGAGTCTCATGATCTTCAGTTACTTCGTGCGTCACAGGTTGGTGCGGGAAGAGTCCGTTGACTATTGTGCTTATGGTGTTACGGTCCATTAGCTCTGAAGGACCTAGTTTTCCTAGTTTCTTTGTTACAATTTTTTAACCTAGACCTCAGGGATCTTACTCCACTTCTTCGCATAGTTGTCTTAGACATTGAGTTTTACTGTTTCTGAGTGAGGCAACCAAAACCTTTCGTGACGTTTTGTACAAAGTCGCCATTGTATCCATGTCTGGTCTTTCTTTTTTTCTAACACGGTGTACTCTCTTCTGTCAACCAATGCATTACTTACGAAGGACGTTTATCTCATCCGTCCACCAGTACATTGCCCTCTGTGCATTTTGTCCTTTCGTCGGATCATCGTGGCCTCGCACAATTGAGTTATCAGGTCTATTGTCTTGTCCGTTAACCAGTTTGCTCTCTTGTACTTATCAAGGTTTGCCGGGATAGTGGCAATAAGTGTCATCGTCTCCTGTAACATTTCCTTGAACCGTTCTCTGTCATGTTCTCGCAGGTTCCAGTATTTAGAAGTCCTGCCTTTATCTGTCCATGACGGTAGATCGTTGTTTGATCCATCACCTTAAAGATGATGTATTAAGATGATGTGATAGTTGGCTGTGTAGTCTTAGATTATTCGCTATTCATTTATCCGAACCGAGATCTTAGCGGAGGTTATTGTCACATCGGGTATTCAGCAACCGAATCTTGATTGTCTATATATATTAGCGTCGTTCCTCGGTTGGCCACTTTCAGATTGAATCTTGCGACCATCTGTAGCCTCCCTCACTTATTCGTCGTTATCATGCCCTACTCAGTTGCTATGGAAATCAAGTCGCCCGCGACGACGAGATTTCCCGAAAAGTCTCTGAGATCCTCCTCTAATTTACCAACGTTATCTTCAAATACTATTATCGTGTAGTTCATGGTGAGGTATAACTAATGTAGGTAATAGCGCTCCCCTTCACTCACACATAATCCTTTCCTCTTGCCGATGCTTGTACTCTTTTTATCGATTTTTCATTTATCTGTAAGACCGACGTGGAAGAAAGCCGTTTTATGCACGTAGGTTCCACAGTTGCTTGTTTAGTATCAATATATTAGTGTTTCGCTCTTTCGCTATTTGTGCGAGTAATAGCTGGGCAGCCTTGTACCTGAGTAAGTTACCTTGTAGGAATACTTTCAGCATTCCTCCAGCGCGACTCGGTAGACCGCGTACGCTCCCGTTCCTGGGAAGTGTACACTTTCTTTCGCCTGCGCTTCCGAGCATAGGAAGTATGTCGACTATCTGGTTGTGTAAATCTTTCCGGTATGACCGACTTGCCGGCACTTCTAGCAGCATTGTCCTCCGTCCTATCCTTTATAGTCTCCTCATCTATGTCCATAATTCAGGCATTAGTAACACCTGATTTCCGTTAGTCTTTCTCTGATCCGACAGACAAAGAATCACGGTAATCAGATATTACCAATGCCTAAGATCTTCTTCGCGGTAATCAAATGTTACCAATGCCTTCTTCATTTTATTTTTGTTTATTTGTGTGTATATGAAGTGTCATGTTGTGGTCCGAAGTAGCTCCTCAAGTTTGACGGGATCAATGGTATGTCACCAACTTCTACAGTATTAGAGCGCCCTGAAAGACCGGTGGCCTCGATCGTTCTTAGCCACATCTGACAGCAGGAACCCATTCGGTCGCCAATCAGCACTACTACAAGCTTTCGCCCTACCAATGTACGGGACGGTGTCCCATATTGGCTACACTGAATTCGAATTCCATCGTACTAGCTGCCCAGCTCTGCAATTGTTCCCTCTATTACGATCGGTATATCCACTATTACCATTATCCATAAGTGATGAAGATATTATCACCTAGTTATATTGGAAATCCTCAAAAATGTGTCTAGCTAGTATACCTAAATCATGTATTAAAAAGTATTCAAGAATAGGCAAATATACAATTAATAAAGATACCAGAATTAATAAACAAAAACTTGATAATAACATAACAATTAATAAAAAAGAACTTAACAAAACCACAAATAATCATGAGACAGACAAATCCAAGAAAATTTACATAAGCACAAGACAGATCATATATATATAAAAAAATACATATAAGAACAGAACAGAAACATTGAAAAATTATATTCATAAAGACAAGATAAAAAAAGCAGATAAAAATTCAAAGACAATAACTTCAAAACATACATGGGGAACGCACGGACACCCCTCGATTAATGCGACAGCCGCGCTACCGATAAAATGGATCAACACGTTGGTCGGTAAAGTAGCGTGGGGCCACAGAGCCCGTATGTACATACATGATCCAGCTAATTCAGCTGTTATCGGTAACGTTACAGACTTTTGGTCTGTATTGACATTGCCAGATTGCATGGTAAGTCACTCAGGATCCCCACAGCCTATACTTCTAAAAATATTTCAAAGCATACGAAAATTTAGAATTTTGCGCTTTTTTCTAGTATCATCAAAGCACAATACTGTACGTCATTATTTTTTTTGAGGTAGGAAACTATCTTACGTTCTACTATATTCTAATTATTTTTATTATTTTAATTAATCTAATCAATGTTGAATAAAACTTTTTTTTAATTCGACTTATATTTCTTACAATTAAAGGAAATCAAAATTTTCTATATTTTTTTCTTTTAGCAATCAAGTCAAATATAATTATATTTTATACGCAAATACAAAGTCTGATTTATTTTTCTTCAATTTAGATTTTTCTTAAAAGTCTCCTTATTCATAAATTATTTTTCAACAATATTCAGTTACTATATATATTTTTACATACATTTTCAAATAACTTGACGGTTGACTGAGAAGGCGCATGTATTTGACTAGGTATGTGTCGCCCGATCGTCGAGTCAACACCGCGCAAGGTCACATATGCAACGGGCGGTGAAGAAGCGAGGGTTCGTGCGCCAGCGGCAAATCTTTCTGATCTTACTCCTTTTCGTCGCTGACCTTACTCCATGAGATTCGCGGTCATCGATGCTCCATTAAAGAGTTCTTCTTCACTGCCAAACTGGTTCGCTCTGCTACAAGCTGAAAGGAGCATGGACGTTCATGCGCTAGAATGTTCCGTGTAATTCGATATAATTTCGGCGAGGATAGCGGAAAAGATGAGTTGGAGAAAAACTACAAGTTGAAGGGATTGGGGTCGAGTACTAGAGCTTTATTTCAATCTTGACCCTCGAAATGTCGCCCGTCGAGCGACACACACTCACAAACAAAACAAAACAAAGCGAAAGAGAGAGAATAAACGCGATTCTTGAAGGTAATTCACTCACAGTTATGCACAAGGTGCAGGTTTGCGAAATCGGACGCTACATTTGTGCGATCCCCGTTGCTGGCCAGTCAACTGGGAGATGATGTTGAGGCTTGTTGGCTTTCTCCTCGTTCTTTAGGGACGACGCAGCTGGCCTCGGGGAGATTACGTACGGCGCTCCAAGATTTGGTTGCTGGGCCGTAAACTTGCCTCGCTTTGCAAGGCGCCTACCGTTTCGGAGCTGGCTCATATGGAAGATATCTCACTGAGGTAGGAAATTCCTGGGATACGTAACTCGTCAAGCGTAACGAGCGCGCTGTTTGGGTTTACTACTTGAAGAAGTATTCTCTTGTGAAGCCCAAACTATGCTGCTTGACCTGACTCGCGCAGCCAGTCTTTTCCTCTCTCTATTATTATATCGCGACTACGTAGCCGTGACGTGTGATTTTAGAATATATATGATCATTCATTTGTTAATAATTATTATTGTGACAGGAACTTACCTGGGATTATTATTTCGACTTAAATTAGCTGCTTAGCTCTATCTCGATGAAGTATATGTGAGGTCGGTCGGTAATGATGCTCGAACACTCGATTCAAGTAATTATTTTTTTATTCAAAGGACAGAAATGATTTCTCAAAAATAACAATAGATAAATAGTACGTTATTCGGCCATCGCGCATCGCGAATCATCTCGTAAGAACTTTAACAATTTTTTTTAGCGCTATTGAGTAGTCGCGCGTCGCGAATCAACTGCCGAAAAGTCGAGTCTCTGTTTG